AAGACTAGCCAAACGTGACCTAAATTATTAAGTTGCTGGTTAAATTCGGTTTTAATTAGTGAGAATTAGGGTGTGGACCGACCAGTAACATAAATTAGGTAGGATTCATTTATTTTAACATAATTTGTGGTTGAGTCACTAATCGCTACTTATATTATTCTCTCAAACTTATAAAATCAGATCGATTAAACACTTATTAAATAGTTGAAAAATATAAAAATTATTATTTCAAAGATTATACTAACCACGCATCAAGTAAATATTTTACATATAAATACTAAAAATACCAAAAAGAAAATATTATTACCAGTATAGAGAATGTACAATGTTATCAAAATTTGTAACTTTAGAAGCAGAATAAACAATTCGCAAAGATTATAGCGCTACGAGATTTTTTTTGGTAAAGTATATTGATAAATTTGTGCATTTGATGAATATTGTTAGCAATCACTTTCCATCAAAGCATTATGACTATGCTAATTAGTATAGAAGCACATTCTAGATCTAGTTAGTTAGCCAGAATCATAACCTAAAGCAATCATTCTAGTTATATATCAACTCTTAATAGTGTGTATAGTTCATTTTCACTGATTCAATCGTGCCAGTTGATCTTATTAGAATCGTTTATCAGTTCCATATATATATATATATATCAGTATAGGAACCCCATTTTCCTTAAAATTGGAAGTGTAAATACTTCGTCCATCACCATGCATGAGACAATAATAATACGATTGTTATAGAAGGCATAATTGAAAGCAGTAGAGAGAGAAGTCACGAGCAATATTTGTAACTTATTACATTAACTGGCAGTTCTTTCTTACAGAGCTGTCCTGACCAATTTGTTCCCTAAAAGAGCAATCACTGAAACCTCCATTAGACAAGCTCTGCTCCATGCCAGCTACTAGTATTTTTTTTTTTCCTGGAAAAACCCAATAAATATATCCATTCTTATTCCTTAGGATCGACAGAATATGTTATATGTATTGTATATATATGATAGTAAAAGGAGGCTAAAACCTGCAAATTAATTCAATGCAAGCATGCATGAAGATTGGACATGATCCATCATTCCTTTTCTGCCATTTTCAATCCCTCCTGTCACCTCTTTCCTTTTATTAATTACCCAAAATACATTAATAATAATCTCAATTTCTAAAATACCCTAACTAAAACAGTTTCTTTCTCATCATATATATATTATGAGAGGAAAAGGGTTGATTTTTTTCTTTTTTTCTTTTTGTAAAAAAGAACAGTAGTACCAACATATATATGTAATGTCGAATATAAGATATTGATCTTTGAATACAACAGGCATGGAAGAAGGGGCAGATCAAGATTGGCAGGCCTGAGTGGTCCTGTTCACCTATATTTATAACTCAAGTTTTTAACTATTGGCAAGCAACCGATCCTTTAATTATTTAGGTACTAGTAGTAAAATAATTGAATTAGATTAAATGCAAACAAAATCAGAAAACTCTATGTATGTTGCTATTTAACTACAGCCAAGCCCTACAAAGTCTCACCAACCCAATTGATATATATATATATATATACTAGACGAAGGCCCGTGCACTACGCGGATTATTTTGTTGCTCTACATTATACTTTGTAGTTTATAATAATTTATAATTTATAAATTATTTTTAATGTATTTATATTATTTCATAATCTACATAATTTTTAAGAATTGATGTTTTGAATTATAAAATTTTCAATTTAATTTCACATTTAAAAAGTTTACTAACTTTAAATATTAAAATATCAATAAATTAAAAAAGTAGTTATTTAAATTTTAATGATAATTCAAAGAATTAGATTTACAAATGTTATATTTTATTGGTCATTCTTATATTATTATTATCGTGAGATTTTATATTGGGATTTAACTACCTATTAGGTATTGATATAGATAATATATCATACAACGGAAAAATTTTAAATTTTTTTCGACACTAAAAAAAATCGTATCTAAAAAATAAAATATACAATTCAATAATAATTCTACCAAATGTAGAAATAAACATCATAAGAGAAAAAAATAAAAAAACTAGAATAGTGTCTAAAAAATAAAATATCTAATTCAACAATAATTCTACCAATCGTAGAAATAAACATTATGAGAGATAAAAATAAAAAATAAAAATCTAATGGTTGTTGATCAATATAGAGACCCTTCTTCTATGAGATCTTAGTACAATGATTTTTAAAACACCAGCTGAATTAAACATTCAGCTCAAAAGCCAAAATTTCCTCGTGAAGCTCTTTGCAAATTTAGTTAATTTATTAATAGCTTCTATTATAATAAAAAATAAATTGAATCCTCAATAAAAATCAAGAAAGAAGTAAAAAAGCACATGAATATATGAAGAAGCAAGAAAGAAGTAAAAGAGTACGAGCACCTGAATATAGAGAATTAAACTTACATAATCTATAAATTTTCAATAAAATGTCACTCTTCGAAGAAAAAAAGTGAAAAGGAGAATAGGTGTTGATTGATAATAAGGGATAAAATTAGATTTCAAAATTGAATTAACTTAGGTTTTATCTGCTTACAAAATATTAGATTAAATCAAATTTATAAAAAAAAAGAAAATATTCAAAAGTTATTAAAAAAATCAGAAAATTTATAAAAAAATATAAAAAGGAAAGCTCAAAAGATAGAATGGCAAGTCAGCTTTGTGAATTTTTTTCTTTTTCAGAATTATATATATATATATATATATGTTATTAAAAATCAGAAATTTTATTAAAAAATATAAAAAAGGAAAGCTCAAAAGATAAGGAATGGCAAGTCGGCTTTTGTGAACTTTTTTTCTTTTTCAGGAATTATATAATATATATATATATATATATATAACATTTCAAATTATTTTATAAAATTCTGTGAATATTATGTAAACCAATCATGTAAGTTTTATTTAGGTATGTTAAGTGATTTTATAAAAAAATAAAAAAGAATTCCAAATTTAAAATTGTAATATAGATATAGATAATTATTATAAATGAATATTTTAAAATTTTTTATTAGATATAAATATAAATTTAAATGATAAATATCATTTTAAATATAAATGCTAAATTTATTTTTAATTTATTAGATGTCATCTTATAAATTTTTCTTTATTATTTTAAATGTGTTTTTCAAATTTAATGATTTTTTTCTTTAATTAAATCAATTGTGTAAATGTTTGCTTACTTGAGTAGTAAAATATTTCTCTAATCTCCTATCCTAGCAAACAAAATAAATTACAAAATAATAATAATAATAATAATAATAATAATAATAACTACTAATAATAATAATAATAACTACACAATAAATTGAAAAATAATAATAATAACTACACAATAAATTGAAAAAATTAATACAACAAATATTCAATATTATATAATTGATTGTACGTACAAAGATCAAAATAAAAAATTATTTTTCTAAAAAAAAATATCTAATAAGTTATGGAAATAATGAGTTTCGATTAATATCAGTCCTATTTATCTCTTCTCTTTCTCTGCGCTTTTGCCTCTATTTCAATTTTTTCCTGCACATGTATCATTTATTTCATATTATAATAATATCAAATATAATAAGAAGCATAAATTTTTTGTCATATTATATAATTCTTTATTTCTTTTCAAAAAAGTTAAAAAAATTGAAAAAGAGAAAGATAAAAAAGTAAGATTAAAGAATTGACATTACGTTGATGTTCCATTACCTCAAGTGAAAAAGAAGAGGCGGTATTGAAGTTGCTGCTATCGTCCTTTTGCAATTAAAAATATGAAAAACAATAATAATAATAAATAAATAAATAAAAATTTGAGAGCACAATCAAAATCCAAAAATTTGAAAGCAAAATAATCCAACAAATAAAAAAAAAAGAAGAAACCATTGTGAAGAAGGTATATATAGATACATGTATATAGACATAGATAAGAAAAAATAATTTAAAAGTTTTAAAATTTTAAATTCAACAATTCAAAAAGTTCTAAAATTTTAGTTATTCAAACTTTTAGAATATATATATATTATATATATATATAGTATATATATATATAAATTTAAAAGTTTTGTTAAATTTTTAAATTCAAACGATTAAAATTTTTTTAAAGTTTTAGTTATTCAAAATTTTATTATATTTATATATTTATACATATAAAATAAATGCTCAAAAATTTTATTTAAAAAATATTGGAAAATTTTTTAGAAAAAAAGGGAAAAAGGAATGCTCAAAGGAGAATGGTGCAAATTAAAGTTTTAGTTATTCAAATTTTTATATTTTATATTTATACATATAAAATAAATGCTCAAAAATTATTAAAAAATATAGAAAATTTTTAGAAAAAAAGGAAAAAGGAAATGCTCAAAGGAGAATGTGCAAATCATTTTTTTAAAAAAATTTTTTGCTGTAGGATTATATATATATAAATAGTATATGGAAGGAGCAACAGGTTTCAAATTCTAGTTTTTTTTACCGTACAAAAATATCATCAGTTTGGTAATTATTATTTAAAATATCATCAATTTGATAATCAAATTATTATTTAAAAGGGTGAGTATTCCTCTTTGTGCAATTTACTATGTTCTTTCTGTGAACGATGCATTGAAACCTCGTATGATTAAAAAAAAAAAGGGGACAGATAATGAATTACTCATTAACTTAGTCAATCTTTGAGTTTGTAGACTAAAATCAAACAAGCCCTTACACTGATATAGTTCCTATAAATGCAAAAATTTTCATATGACTTATTTATTTATTTGTTTCTTTGTTTAATTAGGAATTATTTCTTCACATTTTTTAGGTGAAAGGTTAGGAAACTTGCATTTAGCTTTTTAGATAATTCTTAAATTTTATGTTTAGGGCACAAGGATTTACCTTCTGAATTACAACGCTGCAAAGCAACATTTATTCATTACTTACATGTAATCTATACATTTATCACTAACTTTATTATTATTATTTCTTATAATGTGTTCTACAAATTAAACAAACAATAGGAGATGATTGAGAAAATATTTTAATGTAAACAATTATTTTCATATGCGCTCAAACTCAAGGTGGTTAGGAAACAATGGTCAAGAGCTCTCTATAGACTCTGTTGCTTCAGTTCACACAAACATAAACATGCCCTCAAAACTTAAGGTGGTTACAAAACAATGGTCAAGGAAGAGTGAGAGCTTACTACACATTTTCACATCACTCTTCAGGATTCTGTTTTCGATAGCAAAGATCATCCAACTTGCAAATTGCAAGTCACATGTTTTAATATCCCATCTATTTATAAGACATCAGGTTAAATCTCACCATCCCATAGCTCTTCAAGTGATTTGTATGGTCCATTAGCTGAGATCAGTTCTTCTTTAGGCTGTAATCTTTTTTGTGGGATCTTTTGGATTTTGTCATGATCCTCCTTTGATAATGCCCAGTCAAAGATTTCCATATTCTCCTTCAGTTTTTCTTTTCTATAGCTCTTGACTACAATAGATGTTCCTTGCTCATACACCCATCTCAGACAAACCTGCCAATTAAGATGGATAAATCAATACTATACCAGATTGTTCATAATTGACAGAGATTGGCATAGAAACGCAAATGATTTGATATTTGGTAATGCTTCTGTTACTAAGGCTTTGTTTCTTTCCGGAAAATAACTTGTCTAGAAAATATTTTCCAGATTTTTCGATGTTTGGGGTGCTCCGTAAATTAATCAACGGAAAATATTTTCAATGGTATGGCAGCATCCGATTAACACATCTGCTGTTCTAGCAACTCTGTATAATGTGTACACAGTGCTTTATTAGTGTGAAAATAATCATTTCGCATTTTTTAAAACATTTACGCAGTTGCATACCAGCATGTAACATAAATAATTATATCAAGATCTCACTTTGATGGCTAAATTAAAACCCAACAACAACATCCGACCAATGGAAAGCTACTGAAATTTGATATGAACCTGAGCAACACTCTTGCCATGAACCTTTGCAATGTCATTTAGTACTTCATTGTCCATAACCAAACTGCTTCCCCAGCGAGTCCCCTTTGCTCCCAGAGGAGAGTAAGCAGTGACAATGATATCATTCGCCCTACAGAATTCTCTAAGCCTCTTCTGTTGCCAGAGCGGATTCATCTCCACCTGCAAAACTCATAAAAGTCGCCAGATTTTCAATGCAACATCATACACAGCACTGAAAGAGAAATAGAAATAAAACGGCAGACTCACTTGATTTACTGAAGGGCGAATTTTAGACAAGGTAAGTAAGTGCTGAAGCTTCTTGCAAGAGAAGTTGCTGACTCCAATAGCCTTTGTTAGGCCAAGCTGTTGACACTCCTCCATGGCTGCCCATACTGACTTGAAGTCCATTGGGAGAAGCTCATCCTTAGGCGGTGGGAATACTAATCTTCCAGGCTTACAGCTAATTGGCCAGTGAATCAAATAAAGGTCTAGGTAATCCAGTTGAAGAGCCCTAACCAAAATTAGTATAGCAATTCAACAACAGCAGCAATAAAGCTTAATCACCATATTAAGATAAGCAAGGAGATAAAGCTTCAAGCAATCAAAGAAACTAAGCTAATCAAATCAATTTACAAAATTCCTAGGACTTCTTTCTTACCGGAGGGAATTCTTTAAAGCAGGGATAACAAGATCATTATGAGAATCGCAGCACCATAGCTTGGAAGTAATGAAGATCTCTTCTCGAGAGTCGATGAGGCCAAGTTTAAGAGCTTCAGCTATGGCTTCTCCAACAGGTTTTTCTGATTTGTATAGTGGCGAAGTGTCGAAGTGCCTGTAGCCAAGCTTGATGGCCTCCAGTACCGCCGTCTTCATTGTAGTTTCATCGAAGGGGTCGGCCGCTGTGCCCATGCCTATTACCGGCATTTTTCGGTGGCCGGATGAGGAAGCCAGTGTGAAATTTGGTGTTTCTGCTGCGTTGTTCATGATTCGGAAAGTGAATTATGGAAATTTGGTGGTTTTGGCGCTGGTGGCGAAAAGCACTCTCTGTTTCCGTCAAGTTCCTTTTATTTTTCATCTAGTTTATTTTACTGTTAGATTTCAATTTGGGCTCTCGTTTGAATGTCCAAATTGCAACGAAATCCATTCGGAGCCCAATTCAATAACAACAAGATTCAAAATTTCAGGATTCAAAAACTAGAAATTACAATACAACAAAACAGCCACAAAAAGATACAAGACAACAAGATTCAAAATTTCAGGATTCAAAAACTAGAAATTACAATACAACAAAACAGCCACAAAAAGATACAAGACAACAAGATTCAAAATTTCAGGATTCAAAAACTAGAAATTACAATACAACAAAACAGCCACAAAAAGATACAAGACAACAAGATTCAAAATTTCAGGATTCAAAAACTAGAAATTACAATACAACAAAACAGCCACAAAAAGATACAAGACAACAAGATTCAAAATTTCAGGATTCAAAAACTAGAAATTACAATACAACAAAACAGCCACAAAAAGATACAAGACAACAAGATTCAAAATTTCAGGATTCAAAAACTAGAAATTACAATACAACAAAACAGCCACAAAAAGATACAAGACAACAAGATTCAAAATTTCAGGATTCAAAAACTAGAAATTACAGGATTATCATTTTCTTGAATACGGCCTCGTTGAATTAAAGCTCCCCATCCCATAGCTCTTCAAGGGACTTGAATGGACCGCTAGGAGTGACGAATTCTTCCTTAAGCATAATTCTCTGTTGGGGAATCTGTTTTATCTTTTCGTCGTCTTCTTTTGACAATGACCAATCAAATATCTCCATATTCTCCTTTAACCTCTCTTTTTTATAGCTCTTGACCACAAGAGTTGCCCCTTGTTCATATATCCATCTCAAAGCAACCTGCAACGGTAACATCCAGGTCAGGGTAACGGTACGTAACTATGATTAAAACATTGTTGTGAGTCTAAAATCTCCTACTTATGACCTCAATAAACCATAAAAAATGGGGAATTGAACCTGGGCAATAGTCTTGCCATGATCCTTTGCTATCTCTTGAAGCACTTGATTGTCCATAACCAGATTACTGCCCCAGTTAGTACCTTTTGCTCCCAGAGGAGAAAAAGCGGTCACAATGATATTGTGGGTCTTGCAAAATTCAAGAAGCTTCTTCTGTTGCCAGACTGGACTCATTTCCACCTTAGAAACAAAATTACCATCTCTTGTCAATTAATATCAAACTATTTCTTTGCTTGAAGTCTTATATAACAGAGAGACTTACTTGATTTACTGAAGGAGGAATCTTAGCAGAGGCCAGTATGGTTTGAAGCTTCTTACAGGAGAAATTGCTGACTCCAATTGACTTGGTGAGGCCAAGCTTTTGACAATCTTCCATGGCTGCCCACACTGCCTTGAAGTCCATCGGTTGAAGGTCTTCTTCTGGTATTGGATATTCATACTTTCCTGGCTTAGAAGTTATGGGCCAGTGTATGAGATAAAGATCCAAGTACTCCACTTGAAGAGCCCTGCATACATTATCAGTAACTAATTGAAAAGTAGTTTTGACTAACAGATGGATTTTTAACATGAGAACTCTTACCTGAGAGAATTTTTTAGAGCAGGAAGAACAAGATGAGCATGTGCTTCACTACACCACAGTTTTGAAGTAATGAAGAGCTGTTCTCGAGAAGCCAGAAGGCCAAGATTAAGTGCTTGGACGATCGCCTCACCTAGAACCTTCTCAGAGCCGTACATGGAGGCAGTGTCAAAGTGTGTGTAACCCAGTCTGATGGCATCCAAGATTGCTGCTGTCATGGCAGATTCGTCAAAAGGATCGGCAGCTGTGCCTAAACCCATCACCGGCATGTTACGGTCTCCATAGTAGGCTGTGAGTTTGACTTCTGGGATTTTAGTTAGCGCAGTCTCCATTTGGGTAAAACTGGTTGAGTTTGAGATGATTAGTTTTTTGATCGATGTTTTTTTGCAGTTCATATATAGAGGAGCGATGCATGAATCCAATATCACACGAGAAAGATCATTTAATATATCTTCCAAAGAAAAATGTTGAAAGTCGCCAATGGCGACCTTGCAGTCACTGCATGCGTCGTCACAATCATCATCAAACACTAAATAAAATATCTAAAATATCTATTTGCAATAGACATGAATCGGTTGTAAAAGTGCTCATCGTAAATAATTTTGCGACCGACTGACTAAGTGGTCACAAATCAAAATCAAAATTATCAATATCGGTCGCAAATTTTCTTCGTGTTTTCCTTCTGGAAGCTTGTCGCAAATTGGTCGCAGAAAGTGTCGTCGCAATTATGAAACGCGGTCGCAAATCAATCACCAATTCTGAAAGTGATTGGTTGGTGATCTGTTGTAAATTTTAAATTTAACGGTTATAATTTAGTTGCAATTTGGTCGTCAGTCAGTCACAAAATACAATTACAGGCAAAAAAGTTAATAATATTAAAAACCATAATCACCAATTTCCTTGAAAGTGATTGGTTGGTGATCTGTTGTAATTTTTAAATTTAACGGTGTCATAATTTCAGCTTGCAAAATTTTTGGTCCGTTCAGTCCAGTCACTCAAAATACAATTGAACAGGCAAAAAAAATGTTAATAATATTTAAAAACCATAATTTTTTCCACCTGTTAAAACACCAGTCAATAATATATATACATCACAATCACAAGCTATTCATCATTCAAGATCACAAACACAATTGATAAGCGTGTACGTAATAATGGCAATTGTAAATGTTATTGTACTATACAAAAAAAAACATTGAAAAAAAAATTCACACGGAACAAAATATTCGAACAACTCAAATCGGAATTGTAAATGTTATGTACTATACAAAAACATGAAAAAAATCACAGAAAGCTAAAAATATTCGAAATCAAATCTACGAGGTCGGTCTTCTGCACGATCCAATGTTGTAGCATCGGTAGGAGTATCTGCTGGATGTGTCGTAGTGTCTGCAGGAGTGACCAAGGTATCATCTACAGTATCGGGATCTAAAGGAGACGGTAGTGGCAAATGCAGAGTTGTAGAAACATGTGGATCTATAGCCGATGGAGGATCAAAAGAAGAAATACTAACACCATGATAACCGGACATCCGCATGACATGCGTTCTAAGTTCTGCAAGCTGTCTCTCCTACTCATCAACATGAGCCCGGAATGCACTAATCTCCTCGGCACTGTGATCGTAAGGAGGATGTAGAAGTGTCAAATGCTGAGCTGTAGTAAAATTGTGATGCTTGAGAACCAATGCCATATTGTGATGCTTGAGAGCTAATGCCATATATTTTTCTCTTCTTTTCGCCCCTACGGCCTTCAGATGAAGTGCTAGCTCATCAATTCTTGACTCAGCTTCAGATCCAGCCTGAGAAGAAACAACACGCTTGCGAGCTGTACTATAGTTCTCCTTAAAACTACAAATTAATTAATCAATGAAGTTGCAAACTTTGTTATATTAAACTTGTACATGTAAGAGAAGACTAGAAAGCAATTGAAATATTTTTCATTGTTACTTACATTGACGTCCAACGCACGTCTGTCAACAAACGTATTTCCATCATGGTCCTTTGTGTGAGTGTAAGTGAATACCTCCATCGGTGTGGGTTCACAGACCATATTTTTCATCCTATAATGAATTTAATTATACATGATATATTAATATGGTGTCATTTCATTAAACATTAGTAAATGTAACTGTAACTAGTTGACTCACTAATAATCGAGATGTCTCTATAGCAGGTATGATCCGCCTGTGTGACATCCTACTGAATCGAATCGTTGGTGTGACATCCTTACCTGAATCGAATCGTTTGCATTAGAGTCCGAGTGGGAGTTGCAGCCCGAATAAGAACCCGCGTTTCGAGCAGCTAGAGTTCAGAGTGCGGTAATGAATGGGATTTAAACTTAAATAATTTAACTGCATGCGACTAATTGAATGAAACATAAAGGAACAAAAATTATAAGATAGGACCAAATTGAATATAAGTAAAAACTAGGTATTAAATTTTGTAAAAATATTAAAAGTAGGTCACTTATTTGTTAAATTGTGATACATACAATTAGAGATAAATTTAGAAGTTTACCCGAAAATTCCGCAATTTCCCTTTTCCACCCCCACCTCCTTCACTACCTTCTCATCTTTCTCCTAATCCTCCAATTTCTACCTTATATTCAACCTTTTCAAGGCATTAAATTCAACCTACAATCTACCAAGTTATTTTGAATCTGAATTCATATTTGAGTGATATTTGATGACCTAATAAGAGTATTATGTTATAGGGAGAGGTGAACTCAAAGGTTAGAAGCAAAAGGAAGCTTAGGAAGAAGGAGTAAAGCTCTTTGGGGAGGTTTGATATCTCTTTTAGTTTAACAAATTTTTCTTTGCATGAGAATATTGTTGTTAGCTGTGATGATAGATGATAAGATATATTGTTGCAATGTGAGTAATAGGTTGAGAGCAATGTGATTTAAGCATGGGATGGCATATGGAATTAAATGAATTGGATATTTGAATTCATGCTGAAACAGGTAATTCATGCTGAAACAGGTTTGTTGGAAAACTGACTAGTAACTTCAACCTGAATTTGAACCTATGTACCGATGGAATTAGGAAGTGGTATATAAGAGGTATTTGTTCCTTTATGTTTTAGCTGTCTATGAGCTTTGGAATCACCTCAATTGGAATTATAAATTGAAAGATATGCCCAAAATAGTACAAACTGTGCAGGTTGAAAATCAAAATCTGGGCGGACTGGAAGGTGCTGATTTAGCTCAATATTTGACTACTTTACCAACATATTTCAGAGAGGTGGCAGAAGAAATATTTGTACCCTAATGTTTTAGCTAACCATATAATTTGGAATCACCTAAATTGGCCTTATAAATTGAGAGATATGACCAAAATGGTACAAACGGTGCAAACTGAAAACCAACAGCTGGGCAAATTCAATATTTGACTACTTTACCCCACATTCTTTCAAAAGAGGTTGGTTAGAATACAAGACATATTTGTACCCTAATGTGTTAGATAACCATAGAATTTAGAATCACCTAAATTGGCCTTATAAATTGAGAGATATGACCAAAATGGTACAGACTATGCAGGCTGGAAACCAACAGCTGGGAAGACTGAAAGTTGCTAATTTAATTCAATATTTGACTACTTTACCAACATATTTTAGAGAGGTGATAGAATACATATTTGTACCCTAATGTGTTAGCTAACCATAGATTTTAGAATGACCGAAATTGGACTTAAGAGAATTTGTGACACATGTACAGGCTGCCCTGACAATTTATCAATTGTTTCTACCTTACATGCAAGTTATCAATTGTTTGCATTATTACTCATTAGATGTTGCTTGTATTTGTCTACGAAAAAAAAGCATGAAACAGGTTAGAAACATACAGAATGAGATAGCATATAGGTAAACAGTCTGGTTTATGACTTTTATGACTAATTTAATATGTTTATTGTATTATTGAACTACAAATAATATGCTCCACTGAGGTTAGGTGGAAACCACGTAGATAAGACTATGTCGCGACATAGGATAACAGATCTGCGCCCCATACAGTTTGGTACTGACGTGGGATATGATTTATATACGGGTCATAGCAGCCCAGCCAGTTATAGTATTTCATTCCAGTTCTTCTTATCACTTTTAGGTATTTCTCACTGTAACACTTATGGAGCACCAGTAACAGTTATGATGATTTTGTATTATGTATAAATACAAAAGGTTGCATAAATCATACAACATAATGAAAAACAGCAGGGTAAGATCAATAAAGGATATATTGATTATGTGTGATTACATGTTTATTATTTTTATTTCTTCATTAAGTTTTCGAGATATCCACTGATCTATTTACAAAAGGTGCATAAATTCATAACAACATAATGAAACAGCACGGTAAGATCATAAAAGTTATATTGATACTGTGTGATTACATGTGTATTTTATTTATTTCTTATTAAGTGACGATATTCAACTGAGCTTTTATTTTGCTTAGCGAGTTTACATGTTTTTTAACTCGAGGTTCTAAGGTCTGGAACCGTAGAGTAATCATGCTTTTACAAACAGCTGCCACAGTTACAATCGTTTGAACGGACCGAGTCTTCAGCCGGGTAGCTTACTCATTTTTTGATATTTTGGTTCTTATTTACTACTTATTCCATGGCATGTTATCAGGGCACATAAGTTGGGCCCATTTCATTTGGAAAACTAGTATCATTGTCTTGTAAATAGTAAAAGTTACATAGCTGTATTCTTAAACTAATTCGGAAAGACAACAGCATGACATCATTTTTAGCCTACAGGATGATATGAGCATGACAGAACATAGCTTCAAACCAGATGTAGTTAATCTTTCGGGCTCGGTTCATTCGGTCGTTAACAGTGTGGGACCGGAAGGGACGTTTACAGTCCCTACTGTTGTCGGGAAGGTCCTGCTCCGTTCATCCGCCAATCTCAGCTTTGGGCCCATTTCATTTTGGAAACTAGTATCATGTCTTGTAAATAGTAAGTACATAGCTGTATCTAACTAATGTCGAAAGCAACAGCATGACATCATTTTTAGCCTACAGGATGATATGAGCATGACAGAACATAGGTTCAACCAGATTGTAGTTTCTCGGCTCGGTTCATTCGGGTTAACAGGTGGACCGGGAAGGGACGTTACAGCCTATGTGTCGGGAAGGTCCTGCTCCGTCATCGCCAATCTCACTGCGCCTGTTTCGTGCAAATATCTCACACTTTCTTTTGAATGCAGGATAGCCTTCTGCCAGCTCTCCCATATCACCTAAGACACGCACTGCTGCTTTTTACCGTCTTTTCACATCCTATAGGTGAAGTCAGCATACCATAAAGCGCACAATTTCTCCCAAGCCACTTTTAGCATAGCCGTAGTAGCCTCTTTCCATATGAAATGCTTCTACAAAAATGAAAAATAAAATTTCGATAAAGAGTTTTAACTTTCCTAATTAAAGCTCCAATTGAAGAAGAGAGATCAATTAGTACTAATTATTGCCTAAGTTCATTAACAAATTGTTCTAGCTGTTCTATTTGTTAAATTAAGTAAATTAAGCCAATTGATAAAAAAAAAAATTACCCAAATGCACCCCAACATAATTAAGCCGGTCATTTACTCTTGTTGCACGATTTGCCTTAAATATGGACACATACATGTACTAATTAGGGGCTACAGCACATGTTCTAAAATGAAAAGCAACCATGAGATTAATTATGATTTGGGATTATAGGTCTCTTAAAATTGAAAATGATATATGTAATTGTCGTCAAAAATGAAAAGAATCAAACAAGACATGAACTGCATTATACTTATTTATGGTTAATTTTTAATTTTTTTTCCTTTTAAATTCTCTTTTTGTTTACTGAAATTATATGGAAAATATAGACTCAGATGATAATGAGATTTTATTTTTAGAAATGCTTTTATATACTAGATTTTCACTTATTCAAAATTCGATATTTAATGAAAATGACAAATAACTTAATGATAACACAGAACATAAAAAGATTTTCCAATCGTAATTGATAAGTTATTCTTTGTCACATTTCTATTGAAATTAATTTTTATGCAAATTGATTAGTTTGCTGTACAAACAAAGCAAGCATTTATAGAATTGCTTATATCCTAAATAAACGTGCATATTTTATTATTTTTTACACTAAGGGTTATTTTCCTTTTTTTTAATAAAAAGTAAAAATGAGGTAGCAAGGACAAAATTGATTGTTTTCTTCTTTAGTGGGGTGAAAACTAAATTTATACATTTTACAAGACCCCACTCTGTCTTTCCCTTGCACTCGTTCTTTCTATTTTTATTGGATTGTTGCTTGACTTAAGCATCACCTCCTCAAGAAACCTGTCCTTTTACCACCGATACTCAAAATCTACCCTACATTAATCATTTTTAATTAACAACAAACAACAAATTAAAATGTCTAAGTTCATTATATATTTTGTATTGTCGGCCATCAATTTGCACTAATTATATGCCTAAATGAAGAAATTCCATGCATCTGCTTTAATTAGGTCACGTTCATGGACAGTTTGTACCTCACAAAGAAACTCCTTTTCCAAATTACTGTTTTTTTTTCCTTTTCTATGCAGTAGAATTACAGTTTTTTTCAAAATTAATAAATCAAAAAATAAATCAAATTCAATTGTTGCCAATTTATGCTCGTATGGCCGATCTTTGACAAGAAGCCCACTAAGAAAGCGGCAATGAATGGAGGACAAATTCCAAGCTATTCCCTTTTCCTCAGCAGCTTCTCCAGCGATGGTCGCTGCAACAGAGAGAAGACGCATCTGCTGGAAACGGAGAAAGAAGGGGAGAGGCACGCTGCGATCGCGCCCAAGGCGACTAAGGCATTATAAAGCCCTAACCAATAAACATAAAAATCGATCGTAATTTTTAATCATGCGATGTCATTTTGCATTTAAAGAAATTGCGACCGACTTGCGACCACCACAATCGGTCGCAAATCTGTCACTGATCCCTTGCAAACCAAAAATTAAAATTGGCACTAAATTGCAGCGCCCATTTTAGCAAATGATTATGAAACGGTCGCATATCCGTCGCAAAATCGGTTTCAAAACAAAAACCAAACTGGCGGAGTTATTAGCGCTAGAATTTGCAACGGATCTGCAATCTATCGCAAATCCATTAGTGACTATTAAATGTCTGTAACTTCAACTTTTATCGTAAATGGTCACAACATCGTTGCCACATTTCAATCGACACGGGGGCAGTCGCAAAAAACGGTCGCAAAATCGTGTTTTTTTTTTTTTGTGAAATTTAGTTGATTTCAATTCTAACTTTTTTTTTAATAAATTTAGTAATTGTTTTATTTTTTAAAAAGAGTTTCTTAAAAATGTTATTGTTTTATGTTTTTTTCCTTTGAAACATCCTAAACTTTTGAATTACTGTAGAGGCATCTTTTAGAGTTTTAAGCAACCAATCCAATCATCAAGCAAGATATATGTAGTTGAAAGCTCGACAAAAAATTATGCCGCACAAGTAAATATGTTTCTTACTTAGCATAGGAAAGCTAACTAAGCAGAATAGTAGTATTTTCCAATCTAGGTTTAAGAGTCACCAACAGCCCATCCTTCATGTATAGGGTAGTTGTAATTTTTGGAACAACATTATGACCTTCAACTACCTTAACAGAATATCTCAATAGAATTGAAGCAGCCACCATTTTCATTTGCATGTATGCAAATTTCTTCCCCAAGCATAACCTTGGACCGCCATTAAACACTGCGTATTTGAACTGATTTTCACTCACAAATTTCCCATCCTTAATCCATCTCTCTGGCCTAAACTCTAAGCAATCTTTCCCCCATATTGACTCCATTCTAGCCATTGAGAATATGCAGTAGAGAACCCTCGCGCCTTTTTTAAGTGTTGAACCATCAGGAAGGACATCGTCTTCCAAGACTTCTTTTATTTCTGTTGGCACTGATGGGTAAAGCCTCATGGATTCGGATAATGCAGCTTCGAGATACACCATCTTCTTTAGTTCTTCAACTGTGAAAATAACATCACTCTCTTTTTTGCGCTCGTGACAATCTAAAATCTGATGAATTTCGTATAAAATACTGTTTTCGGCATGTGGGTTATTGTGTAATAACCAAAAAAACCATGCCAATGCTACGGAAGTTGTGTCTCTTCCTGCAAGAATGAAACTTACAAAGAAATCTCTAAAATACTTATCTAGAAATTTCAATTTCTTCCCTTTTTCAGTATATTCAGTGTCCATGAGCCTGGACAAGAGATCAGATTGGTCATTTAAATTACCAAGCTTGATTAATTTCTTCCTTCGATCTTTTACTGTCTTATCAGCAAATTCATGGACAATTTCAATTGCTTTACTAAGCCTCTTCTCATATCCTATTTTAAAAAACTTCATGGGTTTCCACAGAAAAGGCGGCATCAAGAATCTGAACAAGGTCAACTCCGTTGCTTCTTCAAAAGCTTTTGCAAAGGGAACCTGAGGCAACTCCAAGTTCAAACACCCTGGATCGACCCCAAAAGCTGCGCTGCAAATATTATCAAATGTAAAACGAAGCAAAATTTCTTGTAGATCAAAAGTTTCTCCTGATTTGAAAAATTTTTCTGTCAGTTTCAACAGTTTTAGGTTCACAAGTACTTGCATTGTTCGAAACGAATGATCAATGAACCTGCTGGAATGCATCTCAGTTTTTGCTGTACGCCTTAGATTCTTCCATAATTCACCATCAGCATTGAAAATACCGTCTCCAAGCAAATCCTGGAACCTATTACTATAGTACTGTCCTTTAGGGAAGTTACTGAAATTTGTCTTAAGTATATATTCAATGTTTGCAGGATCAGCTGTCATGACTCCATAAGCCCCTGCCATCCACACACCCTGGTAACGGAATGTCCCTCCGGCTTCAATCAAAGCTCTTGTGGCAAAATTGAGTGTGTCATTGATGTAGGGGAGCATTGTAGGCAAGATTCCCAATACAGGCCATAGCATAGGGCCCTTGTTGGTTAATCTTTCGCGTATACAGCTGAAAATAAAGAGTCCTAAAAAAGCAAGAGCTAAATCCCAAAATGATGAGTGAGCATACACCAATTCAAGGGCAGAGAAGATGGTATTCCTTGCCATGATTGTTTCTATATCTTTCCCAATATACTTTTGAACATAAGAAGTCGAAAGGAGACTTAATTATTTCACTTTATTTGCCATTAAATGGAACAAACCTGAGAGAGAAAATAATATAGTAGCTAGAAAACAGAACTAAGGTGATTAGAGAAAATTTACGAGCCAATTAAGAATATGAAAGAAATCACCATAAATTGTCTTATATGTATGGCCATATTCGTTTACATACTGATATTACAAAGAGGGCTATGTGTTGCTTCTTTCTTGTAGATGAGGAATTGAGGATATAAGGAGAGTCTTACAAGAAAACAATGAAAAACCAACCTTAATTAACTTGTATTTTAAGTGAGCTGTTGAATTTTACGAGGAGATCACTGTAATCGATTAAGAAATTATTGATTAACCATCTATTCATGCGCTAAAAAATCAAAATTTTACCTTTATCATCATCATTGAGAGTGCAAAAAGCCACATAGTTCATATCAGGAGAACAATTTTCTTATGCAGTAACAATCGTCCAATTAGTTTGTCGTTTTTTCTTTCTTTGGCAGAAGTTCTATAACTTACTGTGAGATGTTCAAATTCTAATATAACCCACAATGGCATCAAACAAACCCGATTTAATTTAAATAAACAAATAAAAAACATAATTACCGGAAATTTGAAAGAAAACCACCATACCCAGTTTAAGTTTCCGATCCTTTTTCTTTCTGACATTTCCCCTCCTTCCAAGAAACCAAAACAGAAAAAAAAAAAAAAAAAAAAAAATCAAATTCTTTTAATATAACCCAACAAGTCAGTCAAACAACCGATTTAATTTAAATACAACAAATTAAAAAACATTAATTACCCGGCAAATTTGAAAAGAAAAACCACCAATACCAGTTTAAAAGTTTTCCGATCCTTTTTCTTTCTGACATTTCCCCTCCTTCCAAGAAACCAAACAGAAAAAAAAAAAAAAAAAAAAATGCTTATACAAATGATATCCTTTTTTCAAGCTGATGATTAGTGAAGAACGACCGATTGAAAACTATCGGATAAGCCTAAAAAAAAAAAAATCTAATGATATCCTTTTTCAGCTGATGATTAATGAAACGACCGATTGAAAACTATCGGATAAGCCTTAGATGTTTTTATGTTCTAAAAAATGGAATGACGGAATCATTACCTTGTCGTTACCATCCTGTCATACAAATAAAATACATGGGCTATTGGCCCAATTTACCTAGACGGTTAAATGTTTGGATTTTTTTTGCAGATAGGGTTTGTACTTAGTGGGCCTTCTAAACCAAATTATTCAACCGACAAGAGCCACAAGTCAGCCCAAAGTAACCGAACAGAAGCAGCAGTTCAAAATGACGACATCGTATTGATCGGTCGTTTGAAGAAAGATAAACGGTGGTCGGAACGACAATCATTGAGAAGTATGTGAGAATCGACAACTTGTTAGTCTGGTTTGAACAATTAAAGAGAAACGACTGGAAGACTGGAAGTTTTCTCTTGTGTTGACTGTTGAGATTTATTAGCAAATTATACTTCAAAATTCAGAAGATTTGATGGACATGGGTGAGCTGCTTTTCTTCCTCTGTAACTGAGATTTGCTTATTACGCTTCGTTACTGATAAAGGTAAAAATGCATTTATACAATGTATACATTCCATTTGATTCAGGACTTTTCTTGTTTTAGGGAAAATTTCAGCTACCTAAGATGGAAAACCTGCAAAAATCTCTAACTTATTGCTCACAAAATTTCATTTTACTGAGAAAAAATGAAATTTATATCAGTATATTTTAATGATCTTTGAGACAAAAAGAGCACCAGACAAAAAGTTATCTCAATCTGACAAGATCTCTCTTTCTTCAGCAATGAAGGAGAACAAGATTAAAGGGCTGTATATACGTTAGCTGGGTGGTTTGATTGGACTTAGTATAACTAATCAACTGCTAAAATATGCATTTAGAATATCATCTTGCAGAATTACTTAGTCTATTACTTTTCAGTAACTTGTAGGCTAATTTCTCTCCTTTTTCTTTCCTCCACTTCTTGTTAACCATACTTTTCCTTTTTTGGCTCCCACAGAATAAGATACAAAGAAAGTTGAAGAACACATTCTTTAATATTTTTCTTTTTATTTTTTTCCCACCTTTTATCGTTCTAAATCAAGAATGCTACATTCAATTGCTTTTGGATAGACCAACAATATTAAAGCATATCAATGAGTATAATTTTAACTAATTAAACTTAAAAGTTCCTTGTGGATTCAGAACATGTATAAATATTTCTCTCTTTTATTTTTGCCAAGTGCTTTTCCTTTGCTTCTTTGTGAAGTTTTGATTAGCCATTTTTAAGTTATAGCAAGGAAAAGTGCAAAATTTTGATTCTGGTATATGGTACTAACATCTTTAATCAAGAACCACTTCTTTTAGTGATTATCAAGCAAATAAAAAAATAAAAAGGGAAGCCATTGCTTCAGCTTCCTGTCAGAATAGTGCAAATATTGTGCAAAAATTACTGTTGGCTTGTCCTGAATGCCATCCATAAATAGCATAAATATGCCAGTAATCTAAAAATTCATTGTATATATCAACCCATCTATGGTTTACCCTTGGGAGTCACAGATCACTTAGGCCATGAACTTCTTTGGAAATGACCGGTTTTCACGGTGTTCCTCATCAACATCTTTGGAAGAAGAAATTCTCATAAATAAGATCCTACTTACTCATGATCCTGATGATCGTCGGGTAGATTCTGAGCTATTGCTTTGTGCAATGGAGAATGTCTTGTCTTACACTGCTACTTCAGAAGTACTAGTAACTCTCATGCTTACCTATATTTTATATTCTTGTGTCATGCGTTACATTACTACTTCTATATACGCGTGCATGTACATACGTATTTTCCTCACAATGTTAGAATTAATGTTCTGCATAAAATGATTTTCTTTCTGTTTAATTGAAGTAGCTGCAAAATAAAATGTTGTTCTGCTGACATCTATTGTACTGGCAATTATAATTAAGTTGATACAAGTATACTTGAATATGATACGAAAGTTCAATTTTCAGGTTAGCAGCTTCCATATTGATGCCAATGCCAAGAATGATATCAGTAACATTAAAATTGTTGGAGCAGAAGAATCACTAGCACAGATCATCTGTAAAATCTCCCATGAGGTACTTCATTTAATTTCACTCTCCTACAAAAAATGCAAGTGCATGAATATTTTGACACCCTTTCTTTATCTAAATTTCTGTGGTTGCAGATGCTTGTAAGAAGCCCCCGTGAAGGAGATCTGCACACAAGGACTATGGTTTTGTTTGATTTGCTTGGAAATTACAGATGGGATGCCAAAGTGGTATTGGTACTTGCAGCATTTGCAACAAGCTATGGTGAATTTTGGTTGATAATGCAACTATATCCTATTAATCCATTGGCTGCATCTGTCGCAATGCTTAAACAGTTACCTAATGATTTAAGGATGTTGAAGCCTAGATTTAAGGCCTTGAGCTCATTGGTCAAGACAATGTTGGATGTGACAAAGTGCATTATCAAGTTTGAAGGCTTACCACTTAAACATGTAAAGTTGGATGATGGATCAATGGCCATTGCAAAGTCTTATATCTATATAGCAGCTTACTGGGTCACAAGGAGCGCCCTGGCATGCTCTTCCCAGATCACAGACTTGAAAGCCATGAAGCCTGAGCAAGTGCATGTTTCTTCCCTTCAATCAGCATATAAATATGTACCTTTTTTTCATAATTCTTATCAATATACTAAGCATTCAGTTCAAACTCTTTTCAGGATGAAAACTTTGCTTAATTTTCTTAATTTTTAGTAGAATTAAGACCCTTATGAAACTTTTCACAGGCCAACTATTAATAGTCAATAAACTTTTTCCTCTTCAGGTGCTCAAATTCAACAGCAATTGCAGCTTGGCAGCTTTCTAGTCTGGTATATAGGTTGAGCGGCATATACACTCGTCTCAGTCGGCAGGTGGATTTGTGTCATCAACAAATAGGTTGTTATTCTTATTCTTCAGAATGGGTCTGAAGCTGTTCTCTGTGAATAAACTCTAGGCTGCAATATTTTGACTTCTGATCTTCTGCATAACTTACAGAGACAAAGTTATATCAGAAGCTCTTGAACCTTTTCCAGGAGGTCCATGCCAACAATCAAGAGGTCCTTGGCATGTTATTGGCCTTGAGGAATGACTTACCACTCAAGGATACTTCTGCACAAGCAAAGGTAAGCACTCTTCTATCTAAAATTAATATCTTCATCTGGCAATCCCACATCTATGTATCAATGCTACTTTATGCAACTGGGTCAAATACTTGACTGGTTTACGGTGAAGCATGGCTCTGTTATGTTTCTGCTTAAAAAAAAAAAAAAAAACTAACTATGCATAGTGGGAGAAAAAGATAAATTTTATGAGACAGGAAGAGCAAATTGCACCCCCATTTAAAAATTTCCTCTATGTAGAAAGATGAGAATGTAAGTAACATATTATATGTAGCATAGCTAGCAAATATATGTGGCACTATACTTCTGCTTAACAAATTTAGTTTCTCAAGGAAAAAAAAAATGAAGTTTCTTGAATCAGGGAAGGTTTCTTCTAGCAGTTCTCTTAATTACCAATTAATATGGCTTGCTGACAGCTAGGTGTGTCTGAACTGAAAGACAAGGTAGTTGTACTTCTAGTCTCAAAGCCAGAGCTCCTTCCACTTGATGCAGTGCTACTCCTGGTTCACCAAATATATAATCATGCTCACCCCAAGAAGTTACATGAAAGTTATGAAATTGTATGGGTTCCAATTTCATTTTCTGATACATGGACTGATGCTGAAGCAGAGAGATTCAACCTTTTATCTAATTCATTGCCATGGTACTCAGTCCAGTGGCCTTGGTTACTGAACGCAGCTGTGGTGAACTACATAAAACAAGCATGGAACTTTACTGGTGACCCCATTATGGTCGTGTTGGATTCACAAGGAATTGTTATAAATTCAAATGCAATCGATATGGCATTAATTTGGGGTGCCAAAGCATATCCTTTCTCATCTTCAAGAGAAAAGCAACTCTGGGAAGAGGAGAGTTGGACTATACAATTTGTGGTGGATGAAATTGATCCCCTGCTAACTAGATGGGTATGATACAGATTAAGCATTTTTAATTTCATTCTAACATATTTAATTACCTTTACCTTGTTCTGAAGTAATTGACATCATCCCTTGTACTAATTGAACTTAACTGGTGTCAGGTAGAAGAAGACAGGAACATTTGCATTTATGGGAGTGAGAACCTCGACTGGATCAGAGAATTCAATTCCAAATTAAAGAAAATTAAAAGTGATGGCGTGCAGATTGAGTTGGTGTATGTTGGCAAAAGGCATCTGACTGAAAATGTGAGAAGTATTCTAGGTGTGATCAATGAAGAAATGCACAATAACTTATTCTCTTTCACAAAATTACATTTCTTTTGGCTTCGGTTGGAGAGCATGAGAAGGTCGATACTCCGACTAGGACAATCAATCAGCTCTGATCATATTCAGAAAGAACTCTCATCTTTGCTAGATAGCACCAATGAGGGATGGGCAGTAATAGGCAGAGGAAGCACAAAAGATATTGTAAAGCTTCAAGAAACAAAAGCATTGGAATGCTTGAATAAGTTCTCGGAGTTGGGCGAAAATGAGATGAAGTTAGGATTTTTGGGTGCACTCAGAACCACCCTTGAACCGCCTCCTCCTCCAAGGCCTTGCAATCACACTAACGTTATTCCCTATGCAGAAAGATTAGCTGACAGAATTGTAGTATGCGAAAAGTGTAAGCGTATAATGGAGGAGTATGTTCTGTATGAATGAAATGTAATCAATCATATAGGCAACTTTAACTATGTTGCCTAGTAATTTTTTCTTGTTTTAGTTTATAAACGTCTCCATGCTCGGGCTGGAGTTCGTATTCAAGCAGAGTCTTTCCAAACTTTGCCTGAGGTGTAATTCACTTTCGTTGATCTAACTGCATATTAACACGTCCCCATGTAAGTTGAATGTCATCTTGGATAATTTACTGACTGCTTGAATTCAATAACAGAGAGTGATAGTTATGGTCAAGATATGTATTAGTAACCCTTCTAATGTTTACGTGCAAGCATTATGAATTAAATGAAAAATTCTTGAATATCAATCATTGTATAAAAAAAAAAATGAAAAGAAAAGAAAAACTCTCGGGGAAGAAAAGAACAGAAAAAGGTTTCTTCAATCTTCATAGCCATAGTAAATCTAAGGATAGCTTATCATTCTGCACAAGTAAGGACCACTTGGTTAAGAGCAAATTAAAGATACAGGGAAAGATATAAATGAATTTTGTCTAATTGTTGGTTCAAAATACACAAAATATGGACTTGGTAGTTTTTCATTTCCTTAAACTTTTTCTTCAAATTTGACAATAGCTGATGGTCTAGGATACTGACAAGGCTTTTTTACTCTTTGAAGGAAGGCCTTTGATATGGGTTATTTTTATAGTATTTTTAATATAATTTTTATTAGGATTTTTAGTATTTTTAATTACTTTAATTAATTTTTATTTAGTTTATTTATATTTTTGTTTAAAGCTTCATTGAATCACATTTCACTCAATCTTGGACAATTTTATTGCATTTTTATAGAAAATCAGCCAAAATACAGAAAAGAGTGTTTCTAAGCAGAGGATAGCACGCCCGTGCTGAATGCCTGTGTTCCTAAGCAGAGGATAGCACGCCCGTGCTGAATGCCTGATTTCATATTGGGCCGAAAACGACAACTCTAGCCGATGCCACTTGCATGGACTCGCATGAGATGCTTTTCTGACGTGCCAATCAAGTTTAAACTCTATTTAGATGCTAGAGAGTCCTAATTGAGAAGAAATACAAAGTATAAATAGTTTCCTATCTCCAAAAGATTTCTTACTCAATAGAGATTCATTTTCCTAAATGAACACGAAGATATTCCAGAAAGTCTAATAAATAGTTTCCTATTCTCCAAAAAGATTTCTCCAAAAGATTTCTTACTCAATAGAGATTCATTTTCCTAAATGAACACGAAGATATTCCAGAAAGTCTATATAAAGAGAGAGACTAGACATGATCGGGGGGTCGAGCCATTCATTGTATATTCCATCTTTTTGTTTTATTTTCTTTCTCTCTAAGACTTCAAGTGTGATTTGTGTCAAGATTCAAGGAAACCGTCCACGTTATTTTTAAACTAGTTTTTATCTCTAAACTCTTAATCTTGTTTTTACTTTTCATTATTTATATTGATTATGGAATTATTCTCAAGTTTAATTGAGTTTTATTTAATTACTTTTTTATTTAATTACTATATCAACCTAAAAATTCTCTACTAAGAATTGTGATGTAGCTTTTTAATTTCTCTTCCCAATTTATAATATCAGATTAGCTTTTCTTTCGTTCAATATATACATTTATTATTGAATCTAATATTTCAGGTAAGACATTCTCTCCCCCCCTGAAATTGATTTTATTTCATTCATCACCATCTGGGAAAAATGGGTTTTGATCATTAAAGGTAGATAAATTATAGTAATGAGATATTAAACTTGATGCGAGAAAGTTATATGGAAATTAGAATCGAGGTTATTCATAAGTTAATGACTTAGGTTATGAATGGTCATAAAACAAACCATAAAATCTATGATTTTTAATTCATTTTGATTGCGCTAATTAGAAGATAGGTAATTAGAATTCGGATTAAAATAGCTAACATACCATCGGGAAGAGCTTGTTAGTAATTTAAGGGTTGTTTCTCCTACTTGAACAAATTAAAAATTGAATTATAAAACTAAAAAATAAATTGGATTAGAATTAAGTTAAGTCCAAAAAATTGCTTAGGTTATGAATTCATAAAACAAACCATAAAACTTAATGATTTAATTCATGTTTGATTGCGCTATTAGAAGATAGGTAATTAGATCGGATTAAAATAGCTAACAATACATCGGGAGAGCTTGTTAGTAATTTTAGGGTTGTTTCTCCTACTTGAACAATTAAAATTGATTATAAAACTAATAAAATAAATTGGATAGAATTAAGTGAAGTCAAAAATTGCCTTGCTTGATTTCTTTTTATTCTCTTTTATTTATTTAAATTAATTTCTTAAGATAATTTTCCTTATTACCGTTTAAATAATAGTAAGTTAATATAATTTTGGTACTTGGTATACAATTTTCGTGGGAACGATACTTGGTATATAATTTTCGTGAGAACGATACTCTACTCGTTCTATATTACTTGTTGCGGTTTCGTATACGGGGGAAAAACCACTTTTGTCCGTCAGAGATTCTTGATTGTATCATTGTATCCTAAAAAGAAATTCTGAGCATATGACATTATAATGACAGTATCATTTAAATAGCCTTTTGCTTTTTTTGGTAATAAAACTTGAATACTCCGCGTACATCTGTACTCTTATCCTCAAATCTGCAGAACAAGAGGCTTTTCCCTTTTGTGCCTTTCTTTTGCTTACTTTAGTTGTGGGTCCATTTTTCAGATTTGCAACTTCTTAAAACAAAGATATCAAGATTAAACTGTCGAAGATTAAAGATGAAAACCATGATTATTGTTGAAAGATTAAAGTTGATGTTTCTTTCAGAACTTTTAGAAAATTTAGTGTTAACCAGTACACTAATCAAGATTTATTACATGCTCTACTACAAAGTAAGGAAGCAAGCTACACTGTTAATTAAAGGCGATGTGGAGATTTGATGAAACACATGGCATCTAATCCATGATCATTCTTCCAAACCTTTCACCTTAATGACGCCAGGTTGCTTATGTCATAAAGATATTTACAGTGAAAGTTCTTAGGATGATGTACAAGAAATATATGGTCATAACTCTAGAAATTACTATGCTTTACTTAAAGTTTGACATTAGAGACATTACTGGAAGGATAATGAAGAACAGAAAGTTAAAAATAAAAAATGGGAATCCTGGATTAATAGAATTATGGGTTTATCAGAAGATAAGGATAATTTCAGTGGTTAGTATTATATCAAATATGTACTGTATAATCAACGTGTTTCACACAAGTAGTTCTATGTTCAAATCTTCAGCTAACCTTTTGTAGTATTTAAAATTATATATAAAAGCTAGAAAAGAAGATTAATGATGCAGCAGACAAAAGAAAAGCCCTTATCCAAAATTCTTAAACTAAATCAGAAGCAAGGTAGAATTTTTTAAGTTGGGGGTTTCCAATTTGCATCACCTATATAAGGGTTGTAGCTAACCAAATCCAACCACACACAATCTCCTCTTCTCTTCTGTTCTCTCTCGTTCTTTGCTACTTAAAGGGTTTTTTACTTTTTGCTCATCTGCAATGGCAGTTGTACCTCACAAGAGTTCAAGAGCCGAACGCCATATGTTTTCTTCATCTGATGACAATACAATGATGAAGCAAATTCAGGCTACCCATGCTCCTGATGGCCGTGAATTTGCTGTCAAACCTCTCCTTCATGTAGTTGAAGACATTTTCCAACGCGCTAAACCCACTGGCCTTGCTACCCTTGTCCATCATCAGGTATATATAATAGTCTCTTGCATACTTTATTTCCTTATTTTCTCAGGTTTGACATGAACCTAACTATTGCAGGGAGCTCATCAGGCTCAGCTTGACGCATTGGAAGAGAAGGCTCTGCAAAATGGGTTTTATGAAATGCTGGAAGTTTTATCATACACAATCAACAAGATTTCCTGCGAGATATCATGCAAATGCTCCGGTGGTGGAGATGCACATGCAACGACATTGTCTATATTTAACTTGTTATCAAGCTACTCATGGGATGCAAAAGTGGTGCTAGCCTTAGCAGCATTTGCAGTAAACTACGGTGAGTTCTGGCTCGTCGCACAGCTTTACCTTACGAACCCATTGGCGAAAGCAATTGCATTGCTTAAGCAATTACCAGACATACTTGAACGTGCGGATGCATTGAAGCCAAAGTTTGAAGCACTCAACAATCTCATAGGAGCCACTCTGGATGTTGCCAAATGCATAGTTGAATTCAAGGAACTTCCAGAACAGTACATTACGCCTGATGCACCAGAAATGTTAACTGCTACTGCTCATATTCCAACGGCTGTTTACTGGACAATCAGGAGTCTAGTGGCTTGTGCATCGCAAATTATCGGCCTCATTGGCATGGGTCATGAGTATGTTTCTAATATAATGCAACTTAATCATTGACTTTAGTACCCTAGATTGTTAATCTTATTTTCCTGCACACAGGTATATAGCATCAACAACAGAAGCATGGGAGCTATCAAGCTTGGCTCATAAGGTCAGAAGCATTCACGAACATCTCATGAGACAGCTCACCCTTTGTTATCATCATATAGGTGAGTTAAGTTACTAATTAGTATTAAGAAATTTTATGATACCTGAAATAGGATGTGTGAACAATTTTGTCTGATGCAGATGAGAAAAGGCACATTGAAGCATATCAAACACTTGTGCGCCTGTTCGACACCATCCATATTGATAACATCAAGATTCTCAAGGCTCTGATTTATGCTAAGGATGATCAACTACCGCTCTATGACGGTGCTGCCAAGAAAAGGGTAGATTAAACATATTCCTTCTGAATTTTTTCTTTCAAGTTGTTTATTACTAATTTATTTAAGAAATTTTTTGGTTGCAGGCAAGCCTTGATGTGCTTAGGAGGAAGAATGTATTGCTATACATCTCAGACCTTGAACTGCCTCGTGAAGAGCTGGAAATGCTTGAACAAATGTACACTGAAGCCCGACAACATCCATCCAGGACGGAAAGTCAATATGAGGTAGTATGGCTTCCGGTGGTGGACCGGTCATCTCCATGGGATGATGTAAAGCAAAAGCAATTTGAAACTCTCCAGACAATGATGCCATGGTATTCAGTCTATCACCCTTCATTGCTAGACCCTGCAGTCATCAGATACATCAAGGAGGTCTGGCGCTTCAACAAGAAGCCATTGTTAGTTGTGTTGGATCCACAAGGCAAAGTAGTGAATCCTAATGCTATACACATGATGTGGATTTGGGGAAGCATAGCTTTCCCTTTCACTAGCCTGAGAGAGGAAGCACTCTGGAAGGAAGAAAGCTGGAGGATTGAGTTATTGGCAGACGCCATTGATGCTAATATCCTTGCCTGGGTATACTACTGCGACTACTCTTCTAATATTTTGCTTATTAATTGCTACTAACGCTAAATTAGTAACTTGTTCGGAATTTCAGATACAAGAAGGGAAGTACATATGCTTGTATGGCGGAGAGGACATAGAATGGATTCGCAGATTCACTAAAACAGCAGCTGTAGTTGCAAAAGAAGCAAACATCCAGTTAGAAATGCTATATGTAGGAAAGAGCAACCCCAGAGAGAAAGTGAGAAAAAACAATGTAACAATCCAATCAGAGAACCTTAGCCATGTATTACCAGACCTTACATTGATATGGTTCTTCTGGGTCAGACTAGAAAGCATGTGGCACTCCAAAGTGCAACATAACAGAACCGTAGAGAATGATTCAATAATGCAAGAGATAGTTACAATGCTTAGCTTTGATGGAAGTGAGCAAGGATGGGCTGTGCTTAGTCATGGATCAGGAGTTAATGATCAAATGGCCAAGGCAAAAGGTGTTGATATTTTGAAAAGCTTGGATGAATTTCAGACATGGAGGAAGACTGCGGAAGAAAGCGGTTTTGTGCCTGCACTTAATGAATACCTGACCGGACACCATAGTCCACTTCACTGCAACCGCCTGATTCTGCCCGGAACCACCGGAAGTATTCCTGAAAAGGTGGTCTGTGCTGAATGCAGCCGCCCTATGGAGAAGTTCATTATGTACCGCTGCTGCACCGATTAAGGCTACAGCTATTTTTAACTTACATAGCACTTCTGTGTTTACTATAGGCAACAGCTACACATATATATATGGTTTGCGCTGTGGCTGGGATTAAATAACAGATGCTTGCAGTGTGAGAACTTGCAGCGTGAGAACTGGCTATCTCTGCTGCTTGTTTCTTTTTTCTTAATTGCATTTTGTAATTTTCCTTATCTAAGAATTGATACTTTATAATAACATCTTGGTTCAATTTATTTTCAATCAATGATGTTCTCAAGTGCATGGAAGCATAAACTTTCATTCTGATTTTCTTATCATTCATGTGAATTAAAGATCTGTCATTTCAGATGGGAAAGAAGACTGGCCATTCTTCAACTGATTCAGGAAAAATGGGTTAATTGATCAAATCACATTGCAAGTCCTTTCCAGCAATTATCCTGCTTCATCACTGTAATTATAGATGTGAGCTTGAACATTGCCTGAATGCCTTTTATGGAAAATTAATATAGCTAAATCATAATCAAAAAAAAAAAAAAAAAAAACCCACATTGCAAGTCCTTTCCCAGCAATTATTCTGATTATTGTAATTATAGATGTGAGCTTGAACCATTGACAATGAATGCCTTTTTTAAATGGAAAATTAAGTCATAGAGATTTAAATCAAAAAAAAAAAAAAAAAAACCAAAGTTAGGTAAAGAAAAGTTTTTGGAGTTCATCTGTTGAATTGATCTCAAAAAGAAAAAAATATATATATGAAATATACTCGTTGAAAATCTTAAAAAAAAAAAAAAAAAAAAAAAAAAAAAAAAAACCAAAGAAATACCCGTAAAGAAACGATTTTGAGTTCAATCTGTATAACCCAAAACGAGATTGATCTCAAAAAGAAAAAAATATATATATGAATATACTCGTTGAAAATTTAAAAAAAAAAAAAAAGAAACAGAAAAGGAGGAAATATACCAGGAGACAGGTAACACAGCAAAAATGGGGAAAATGCTGTGCTGTTTAATACTGGCTAATTAATTTATGCTTCGGAAACATGAACATCTCCCACTTTGATTATACAAGGAAGAGTTCACCAGTAAGAAGCAGCCATCAATCTAATTCTTAATACTTTCAAAAACTAAATAAAACTAAAGACGCTGACACAATTCCAACTCAAGCTACGCCTTACAGGACAATGCGTAGCATATAAATCAGAGAAGGTGGAACTGCAAATTGATTTACGCTTCCGATGACACGGTCTTATGGATTAGGTTAAGCCATTAAAGAACGCAACGCCTCTCGGAAGCGATTCATATCGAAATCGAAAACACTAAAATGATTTCTGGAATCCCCAGAATGTATGGAGAAGAAAAGAGAGCAAACTCACATCATCTATGTCTATTAGGCGGAAAGCGGTAATTAGGGTTTCTGAGTCTGATGACTGTGGAACAATGTATAACGAGCTTCATTTATAGAGACGCTTGCACAGATAGATTGGATTTTCAGAAAATAACGAAAATGCCATTTCCAGTTTGAACTGACTTGGATTGGATCCCCCTCTCAAATTATTAATAATAAAAAAAAAAGCCCAGGAACGAGTGTTGGGCTTGCTATATGGATGTAAGTTCAAACTATATTAATCATTTTATTACTTATTATTGGAAGAAAGAAATATAATCTACAAAATTATCATCAGCATGATCCAAGTTCAAAGTTGCAGAGAGACGTGACTGGATAGACAAATTTTGCAAAAATATATATTTTTTAATATTTAATTAAAATTTTTATATCTCACTTTTTATCAAAAAATACTTGTAATATTATATAATTGATTATAAATAATTTTGAAATGAGCAATATTCAAATTTAATTTTGCAAATATAGTTAAATATTTTGCAAATTGTAATTATGATATTAAAATATTTTTAAAAAATATATGATAATAATTTTTCAAAATAAAATATTATATTTATTTATATAGTTAAATAAAAATTTATGATTTTGAAATGACTATTTTATTTGGTGAAGAAATTTTTTTTATTGTGCTAATTATTTGTTTAATCATTTATTTAGTCGAACAATTGTGTTTTACATTATTAATTATTATGCGTTGACATTTATGTTTTTCATCCTATTCATAATTTTTTAAAAAAAAGCATTTTAGAATTCTTGAAATCCTATGTGACATAAACTAATTATTCTAACCCTATATGCCACTATCAAATTTTAGCAATCCTACCTGACACTCTCTTGGAAAAATATACTTTATATATATATATATATAGTGGTAAAGAAATTGATGAATGTATCTTTGATAATTCCTTGCTTGCCATAGTTTAAATTCTTAAATTCTCTGGCTCTGCATTTTACAAATCTCTAAGATTCCTTGAGTAGTTGTGTTTTTTAGGCTTGTTTTGCTTGCCTTGGTTTTACAGGCGGTATAAGATGCTTTGCCTCTCGTATGTTATTAGGATATATACGTGTGTGTGTGTGAAAGGAGAAGTCACATTCACCATTTTCAAATTATTTCAATTGAGAAGGAAAAAAGTGCAAAAAGAATGGAACAACTAAAGGTACCACTTATTGTTGCAAAAAAGAGATCATTCAGGACCCATAGGCAGCAGGAAAATATCTCATGCATGAGCAGAATCCCTTCGATGTCCTCTTATTGATGAATATGATATCACGCAAGCCCTTCAAAATATATCACTTCAAACCACTAATGAGCCCGCAAACGATTTACCTTTTGAACTCGTTTCTCAAATTGCTTCAACCCAACTCAACTTGAAGTTGGAATGTTGTCATCAACATGTTGCTATATGATGATGCCCGTCTCAAGAAATTGGTAGAGTTGAAGAATTCTGAGGCATACTTGGTCATCGTTCAAAGCAAAACAGATAATCATCAGGATGATGATTATTATAAGGGTGGGCATATTTTGAAGGTAAGCATCGACGAAAGGTCATTTAATGTGAATGAACTTGTCACCAAATTTTTAATTTACTTTCCCACAATAAAAAGGATGGTAATGGTGATGGCGATGATCTGAGAAAGAAACTTAACAAAGAACCCATAAATTACCATTTGCATGAGTTAGTCTTATCTGAAAAACCAAGAACAAATAAAATCCAATGCAAAAGATGTTTAGGACTTGTTTCTGGCCTCTCTTATGAATGTGTAGAGTGCGATGAATTCACTTCATAAATTATGTGCAGAGTCATTCCCAAATGTACTGGACTGTCCTCCTTGTTTGAGGGAAACGAACCCTAAGCAATATGACTTTCCAAAGACATATGAATGTAATAATTGTGAAGAGTTTTTAGATGGTTGTTATGATTGTCTCTTCCAAACCAACCTTAAACTTGGATTTTTGCCGGCTGTTATTTATGATGGAGAGCATCAACACTTTTTAATCTCGTTATCATCCCCTTCAAGTATAATTATCAATTTAAATGTATCATTTGAAAAGGTTCTGATATTTTGAAAAGCTTGAATAAATTTCAGACATGGAGGCATATTGCAGAAGAAAGGGGTTTTGTGCCTGCACTTAATGAATTCCTCCTCGGTGAATGTAACCTTCATTTGGAAAAGGGTGGTCTGTCCAGAATGTCAACGTCCTTGAGCTGTGATTGGGATTAAACAACCGACGCTTGCTATACTTCACCATTGTATAAAGAAAATGTACAGAAGAATTTTATGTAAAGCTCAATTCCAGTAGATCACATACACAAATTCTGTTATTCCTTCAATATTGACAAACAGGAAATAAGGAATTGCAGGAAAGGAAAAACCGCGATATCCTTAATATGAAAAGAATAAAATAAAATAGAAGGGTCAAATATTTGACAAGGTACTGCATAATATTCCTCAGCTGAAATGACAGGTTTAAATAAAATCAGATTCAATCATCTGCACATAAGTAACAGGTAAAAGAAACAAGAATCCGTATCTTAAGAAGCATTCAAATTCAGGAGTAAAAAGGATATTTGTAGAGCTATATTCAATTCTTAATAAACAGTATCAGTCTCACAAATTTGAGGGGTAAAAGAAATTAAAATTCGAACAAATGTTTAAATCAAATCCATTATTTCTCCAGATTATAATGTTGTCAATTGAGCATAGTCTACGAATCAAATTCCACTAGCATCAGGGTATAGCTTGAGAATGTCTAATGTATATCTACACAAAAATTAACAAACTTAACAATGCATCAGAGAGCCCAGAAGAACAACAAGCAAATTAACAATGTGTATTGCATTATCATTGCAAAACTTATTAATTTGCATATAATGATGAATGTCCAAAGCAAAACTATTTCACATAATTAATCACCAGAAAAAACCTCAGCAATCATCACATAAATAATGGATATATCTCATTTTACACGAAGTATATTATATTCTGTGTCAAAAAGTTGTAAAGAGTCATAAGTTAGAATTATTAAACGGAAACAAAATAAGTTCTTTTTTATAAAGAGGACATGGATCAGCATTAAGGTTTTTGATCAGTGCAGGAAGGCAGGTAGCAGCAAATGGATGGAGAAATGGAGATAAAAGTAAAAAAATTGTTGGGAGAAGTCTAGATTAGCATTCAATAGTAGAACACAACCCACGCCTTTTATTTCAACCCAATAGCATATTTGCTTTAGGAGAGGTTGCGACAGTCGCAATGCAATAACTCAAACAAGGACAAGGGCCCTCTCCCTTCTTCCCCATTTTCACATCCATTACCACTTCCATTAAACTTTCTGCTCAGACCTTTTACTTTGTAGCCATCATTTCCATCGGAACAAAGATATTAAAGATTAACGATAGAAAGAGAAAGTGAAAGGGAACCATATAATTTACCAATTTTGGAGCGACGAAGGCAATTCGAAGAGGAGAAGGGAGTTGCGCCCAGTAAGGGTTGTATCATAAGCTCCTGCAGGCATAGAATGGATGGACTGGAGGCTCGCTCTCCGCGGATCTTGCAGTTGTAGGGTTTTCGGACAAATACGACGTCGTAATATTGTGTTAATGAGGTCATTTATACAGGTAGTGGACTAATGGTGCTTTCCTTATCAGACCAGCCCAAAACTGACCCATCGTTCACTACCTTCAAATGGGCCGGTAATCGCTAACTACTGTAAACTAAAACGACAGGTCGCCTATCTTCATTCCAAACGACCAGTTATATTTTGATTTCACTCAACCCTACACCCCAAAACGGCTCTCCATCATGACCTATCTCTTTCAAAAATTTAAATTTTTTTTAAAATAATAATAGTAATATAATATTTAGCTTTACTTTATTTTTCATATGTTTTAGACGCTAATAGACACTAATTTTACTTTCCTTTCTTCAAAATATACTAAATCTCTATTTTTTTTTACTTAATTAATCTATTTCAAATAATTAATTACATGATTTG